AAAGCCAGAGTCAGATACTGGGGGTAAATGCTGAAAGGACAGTGAAGTAAAGGAGCCAGCCATAAGAAAGCCCTATTACCTCCACTGAAACATCAGGACCAAGGAAGGATCCTGTCCCTGTGAATCCTCATACTGAATGCCATGGGCTCCTGTCTCCTCCTACCTTATATTCCTCTGTCCATCCAGTCATATCACTCCTGTCTGCATGCCCCTAGTGCTGAGATTAAAGGCCTGAGACTCCAACATACTGGTATTGTGTGAGCCACCTCTGCCTACAGTGGCCTTGAAGTCACATACATCCACCTGTCTCTGCATCCTGAGTGCTGGGATTAAAGGTGTATGCCACCACTGCCTGGCCTCTATAGCTAGCTAGTGTGGTTGCTGGATTAAAGGTGTGTGTCTCCATTGCCTGGCCTCTACAGCTAACTAATATGGTTGCTGGATTAAACATGTGTCACCATTGCCTGACTTCTATGGCTAACTGTTGGCCAGTTTTGCAGTCTGATCTTCAGGAAAGCTTTATTTGTTAAAGCATAAACAAAATACCTCCACTTCAGTTGTTTTAGTTTTGTATATAGTTTAGATATTAGCCCTAAATCAGATGTATAGTTGGTATGAGGTTTTCCCTTTCTGTCAACTGCCACTTTGTTCAAATGATAATGTCCTTTGCCCATACATAAGTTTTTCAGTTTTATGACGTCCCACTTACTGATTATTATTTCCAGTGACTGTGCTACTGGTGTCCTGTTCAGAAAATATTTTACTGTGCCAATGAGTTTAAGACTATTCCATATTTCTCTTTTCTTAGATTCAGAGTACCTGGAGGTATCCTGAGGCCCATGACCTGTTAGCATTGTTTTACAAGAAGCCAGCCAGTTAGACTAGCACTATTTTTTGAAGATGCTGACTTTTTTCTGGTGTGCATTTCTGACTTCTTGTTCAAATGCGATATTTGTATGTGTTTGAATATATATTTGGATCTTCAATTCTTTTCCATTGAATACCATGTTTGTTTTTTCTGCTAATACCATTTGTCAATATTTATGTAGTAAAACTTGACATATGGGTGATGATATCTCAAGAAATTATTTTATTATTCATGGTTGTTTGAGCTATCCTGAATTTTTTTGTGCCTCCATATGAAGCAGAAAAATTTTCCTTTTATATTTCTGTGTAAATTCATGTTGGTATTTTGACAGAGTTTGCATAGATTCTGTCAATTACATTTGGTAGGATGGCTGATTTGCCCAAATTATTTCTATCAATTCATAAGCATGTTAAATACTGTCATTATCTGATGTCTTATTTCTTTCTTTCATGCTTTAAAATTGTTCATATGCGAGTTTTTTACTTTCATTATTAGAGTTTATGCCAGAGATTTTATTATTTTTAAGGCTATGGTGATAGATATTGTTTCCCTTATTTCTTTCTGATCACTAAATATTTTTCCTGAGGTGTCAATTTCTTTCACATTGTCTGCAATGACTAAGATTCGTTCTTCTGTGTCATCTTTTCTGTTGGTGAAGCCATATTTGAGACTTTGATGTGGCTTCCTACAACTTTAATTTCCAGTTTTATCTCAGATTGTGTTTTCTTTAGTAATACTATTTCTACTTTCATAACCTTAAGTGTTTTTTCTTTCATTTTTGTCACTGTTAATTTTTTTTACCGACTTTGTTAAGAGATTTATTCATATCCTCTTTAGGATTCTTGGTCAAGTTGATAATATTTATTTTAATCTCTTTGTTTAGTGATTTGGCTCTATTGTATTTCAGAATATGTTGTAATTAGAGTTAGTGAGTTCTGGTGCAGACATATTTTCTTGGTTATTAATGCTTGTGTTTCTGTGCAAGTGTCTGGGATTTGGATGATTGTGCTTCTATCTGTACTATCTTTGTTCAGTGGGTAAGGTGGGTTCTATGCAAGTGTGGGATTCCTGGGGAATAGAAACAGAGAGAAAGGACAGATGCCTGCAGGTAGCCTGCTACATGTCTGGGGGTAAAACTGAAGAAATTTCAATGTTGGGTGTGCAAGAGAGTGAAGATGAACTACCTGCTTCCTAGGAATCAATGCCCATTTCTTGTAGAGTCTTTTCTGGCATTTGAGTAAAGCAAATCATGTGAGAGAGGAAAGGAAATGCAGCAAGGTTCTTCTGAGTCCATGGTGAATGGAGGAAGACGGAGAGGACGGGCAAGTGGTCTGTCACAGGGTTAGGGATGGTACCAGGAGAACTGAAATGGAAGACAGGAAGATGACCTACTGGTTTCCAAGTTTATGAGAACACTGGGTTTGTAGGTGTTTACAGTTGAGAAAAGGGAAAGGAAATGGGCTAGAATGTGTGGAGTAGGGGTTGGGAAGGTTCACAGGATGGAGCAAAGATGGATGGTTGTAAGGTGTCACAGAGTCTCTAGGGACTCCACCACTGCTATTCTGTCAGTAATTAAGTCTACAAATCACTGGATGCTGTGAGAGTAAACCAAATGTATGTTGCCATCCTTAGTACCAAATGATGCCTGAGCAATTTCCTAAGAGTGGTTCATAAGAGTGTTTGATTCCAGGCCAACATCTCTGGAAGGTGCAAGCATAAAAACATCACTACTATATTGTCAACAAGAACTCACTGTAATGGAAAGAATGTTGATCTCTTGTTACTGAAAGTCCACAAAAGACATGAAAAAGCATTGTCCTGGATGCCAAAGCTCTCAAGGACAAATACTGGCCTAATCATCTGTGTCCAAGAAAAAAGAGGAGTTCCTTGATGAATGACCTGAGCATTCTGTGATAAGGGAGTGAATCAGTAAACAAAGTTCCAGATACAAGAAATGTCTCTCTCAATCATACACTCACACACACACATATGAATACATCACATATATTAATTCATACATGAAAACATCATGTATATACATTTATATACAAAGTATTATACATAAATTATGGTAGATTTAAAGATGAGAAACAGCCACATTAGTGTGTACAAATACCATTCTTGAGCTCTCAGCACTAGGATCCAGATGATATGATACATTGTTGTTTTATGTGTCTGCATCCCTCAAGTTCATAGAACACTTAAGCAGAGGCCTCACTGGTCAAGGGTGCAACCACAAGGTGGCAGTAGACCTCAGTAGAGGATTCTCTTCCTTGTATGCTTGTTGTGCAGGCTCAGGGAAGAAACACAGCCTTTTACTCAGTGGCTGAGTGGATGACTCAAGACGTAGAATTGTTACCAAGAAAGAACAACATCCTGGTAGCTGCTAGTCATCACCACCTAAACTGAATCTTAATTTAATCAGAAGAACAATGAAGACATATAGTTCCACTGTATTCATGTTTCTGTGGCTGCATCTGGATGGTGAGTTAAAATTTTAGATCACAGAATATTCCATGGGCATTTCTGAGATATCCAGGAGGAACTCTACTGTATTCAGCTTCCCTCTAGTTACTGTAGAAAAAGAGAATCCTGCATAGTGATGACCTGACAACCTTTCACCTTCTTTCCATCTCTCTATCTAGGAGTGAGCCAAGGAGAGCAGCTGGAGCAGCTTCCTTACAACTTGAGTATCCAGAGGGAGCCAGCGCTGTCATCAGCTGCACTTACACAGACAGTGTCTCATCCTACTTCCCTTTGTATAAGCAAGGACCTGGAGAGCATCCTAAGCTCATTATTGACATTCGGTCAACTGTGGAGAGAAAGCAGGACCAAAGACTGATAGTTTTACAGGATAAGAAAGCCAAATACTTCTCTCTGCACATCACAGACACCCAGCCTGGGGACTCTGCCATGTACTTCTGTGCTGCAAGTGCACACTGCTCCCCAGGCACCTGCAGCCTGTCCTCAAACCTGCCACAGGGCCTGGAGCCCCATCTACATCTTGTGTTACAGGCCTTCCTGGGCAGCATTTGTCAGTTGTTAGTTGAGAAGTGCCAACTATAGTGTATGTATTAAAAACACATAAAAGGGAAGATAGTTCCAAAACTCTAAAAAATTTTCTACAGTTTTCTCCTTCCTTCATTTTTAATAATTACTCTAAAGTTGAATCAAATTTTGTCATTCCATTTCCCTGGAGGCATCACATGGTGATTGTCACAGAGAACCAGAATACACGGGGCTGCAGAGATGAAGAAACTTCAGCCCTAGTGGGACAACTCCTCCAAAGGTCCCAGGTCACTGAAGAAGGAGTGGTGGCAGGGGTGTAGGAGCCATAGGTGAGGGATGGCTGCAAGGAGACAGTGTTTTCTGGACACAGTGGGTCAGCTGCACACATGAACTGACAGCAAACATGACGCTGACAGCACACAACAGACTTGCAAAGGGTTAGGCCAGAAACAATCCCAGCAAGCAGAGGGAAGGTTGATATTACCACCATTAACTGAGGAGCTGTGGGCAGTTGTTAGCTGCTGGGAAAGAGATTTAGATTTCTTCAATGGTGCAGCCTTGGGTACATACACAATCCTCTACTGAAGGCCACACTTACAGGATTATATGAGAGCTACAGACTGTAATGCAAAGCTAGATGTGTTCATTTTAAATCATAGGTGATTGGTTTTGTAAGGAAGAGTGGATGGATCTAGCAGATGTATAGGATGCTGGTGAATATAATCAAAATTAATTGCATAACTTTCCTTAAGAACTAAGAAAATGAGAATAAGAGGATACATATTTATCAGAAGTATGAGTGTATACATACAACTAAAATATGATATCAACATAATGTATTATGCATATTTATCACATAAAATACTATAGGATATAGTAGTTCAATAACATTGGAGATTTCGAGACCTGCCTCCTTTGGGTGAGGTTTCAAGTTTACTCACAATGTGTTGTGTAGACATCTGTGGTCCAGCTAGAAGAGAAACCAGCAGAGGGCACTGCCTCATCAGATGTGGTTAATGTCTCATCAGGTGGTGGCTTCACATGACAGACTGTCACTGTGCTGAAGAAGAACATTATTTATGAGTGAGGGGTTTCAGTAAGGTCCTGAGGGGACTTTTCCTGTGAGTTCGGTGAACTCAAGAACCAAGTGTCATTGTCTTCTGTGAACATGCTTCCTGACACCTGCCCAGTTCTGCTGCTCCTCTTGATGCTCGGTGAGTGACATTTAACTAAGTGTTGATGACATCATCTTCTTACAGCTGTCTGGGTCTTTACATTCTTTCTCATGTAGCAAAGTGATTTTCCTTATTTATGTATTTATTCATTCATTCATTATTTATTTATTTTCAGGAAAGATCAATGGAGATTCAGTGACCCAGACTTCTGGCCTGGTTACTGTCAAAGAGGGGTTGCCTGTGATTATGAACTGCACCTATCAGACTACTTTCCCAAATATTTTCCTTTACTGGTATGTGCAACATCTCAACAAAGCCCCTCAGCTGCTCCTGAGAAGCACCACAGACAACAAGAGGACAGAGCAGCAAGGGTTCCACGCCACTCTCCATAAGAGCAGCAGCTCCTTCCACCTGGAGAAGTCCTCAGTGCAGCTGTCAGACTCTGCCCTGTACTACTGTGCTCTGAGTGACACAGTGAGGGAGATGCAGGGGAAGCTGCACACAAACCAAGGTGCAGGAGGCTGAGGGGAGGGGCCCTGTGAGGGAGAGCTGTGTGCCTTCTCTCAGTGGAGTTTACACAGCCTTCTGAAAAACAGCAACAAACCTCAGGTCAAATTCCTAGAAACCTACGAATCTGTTGATTTTCTGGCAGGATAGGATGGAAGTCATTGCCAGAGACAACACAATATTTGATCACCAGAAATAATGTCCTCTCCCTATGTGGAGGACCTCTCACAGATAACATCTCCAGGAAACCTCTGTCATGGGATTACTCTCTAGCAAAATGTGTTACAGATGTTATTGATTTAAATTCTCCTTCAGTCTTCTGTCGTTAGGTCAACAATTTAAGACCAAGTGAGGGACATAAACTCTAGCTTTATAAATATGCCTCAGCATCCAGAAGTTATTTAGATTCTTTCTCTCCTTGGTCCATGTTATGGAGAGTTCAGTATATCTTTCAATATCCCTGTTCAATTGATGTGAACAGACACCGTGAGTAAGACAATTTAAAGGAGAAAGCATTTAATAGGGGGCGTGGTTACAGTTTTAGTGGGTGAGCCATACTAATCATGGTGGCAAACATAGTAGCAGGCAGTCAGCCATGTCCCTGTAGGAGTAGTTAAGAACTTACCTCTGATCACCAACAAGAGGCAGTGAGAATGAGAGGCTGGGCCAGCCTGACTTGGGTTTGGGATTCCAAAGCCCACCAATAGTGACATAACTCCTCTGACAAGGCCATACCTCCTGAGAGATAGAGACAGAAACAGAGAGAGTCAAAGACAGGGAGAGAGAAACAGACAGAGACAGAGACAGAATGTGGACTTGGAAAGCAATGCTCATAGCTCCTGTCCCCTGGTGTTTGCATATGGTACAGTCTTTTCCTGTGGGCAGCACCTAGAATGCTGCAGGTGACACTTCTGAATTCTGTTGTCTTTTACAAGGAAGACAAAAGGACTGCACAGTAACTAAGACTCTCATTAGTTTGATGTATGTTTGACTCTGAGTTCGTCAAAGTGAAGACTGACCCTCAGGGTCCTTTCCTGCATGTTCCACACACTCTCTTGCATTTCAGAGCCTCAAAGCCAGTCTGTCTCAGGAATGGAGGCTTTCAGACTGAGTGTGGGAAGGATGGAAACCCATTCCACCTGAGGAATCACTGAGAGCAGGACTGAGGAAGCTGGGAGCTCCGCTGCCCCACCTCAGAAGTACAGAACTGGACACAAGACACTTGAGACTGAAGAGTAAGAGACCAGGCATGTGCAGTGAGGACAACAGTATGGAGAAAGTGGGATATTGGAAAGTGCTTCACTTGTTTTTAATTTTACAAAGAAGAGTTCTAATCTCTCCTTCAGTTGAATTTTGACCCTGAGAGACAAGAGATGAGTAGCTGCCACTCAGCCCTATAGCAGCTGCTGCAGATGCACAGATGCAGCCATCAGCCTGGTCACCACATGGGCTCTGCATCCTCCTGCAGCATCAGTGCTGTATGGGGAGCTCACCCCAAGGTCGGGTCTCTGTTCTGAGTGAAACTTCACAGGGTTCTGGTGCAGCATTTCTTTCCTCACCAAAATTTCACTACATTAGAGGGTAGTGTTTACAAAGTGATGGGTTGAGATGTTGCAAGGTAGACTGGGAATTATAGTTGAGGAGACTTCATGTTTTCTATCAGTTACTAGTCTTATTTCTCAATTCCAATGGAATGGAGGATATCCAATTAAAAAATAAAGACAAACAAACAAAATCTTGGTGAGGAGTTTGCAGTGTGGCCCAGTGAGTCACACAGTGTACCCTTCATTCCGTGCATCTTTTCTTGCAAGTCTTCCACGCCTCTGGCTTCTCTACACTGCAAATAATGGACCTTCACCTACACTCTTCTTGGATTTCCTATAGATGCTTTGTGTCAAAGAGATCCTGCAGCTTTGGATCTGCAGATCAGGGCTCTTCCAATGGTCCAGCAGTTCATAGAAGAAGAATATTTTAGGATGAGATAACTCATAGCACTGGTTCTGTATCTGGGTGGAGGCTGTGGTTATCCCACAACCTTTCTTCTTGTAACCTCTCAGGAAAGCTCTCCAGCAATGTTGCACGTAGTTCATCCAATGCAGCAGGCAGAATGTAGAGAGGTCAGTTATCCTGCTCTCATGACCTCACATCTAACTTACACACACTTGGACCACAAGGGACAGATCTACCATTTTCTCCAGGTAAGCTGACTGGTCCACTATTCCCATTGCTGCTGTTGGTAAGAGGATGATACAGATATTCTGCTCTAATACCTTAGAGGCCAACTCTCTCACCAACTGAGGTGATATACTCTCAGAAGGGGCAGGCATCATTTTTACACCCTTGCCAACACAAAGTAGAAGGGGGATGAACTTAGCTCTTCTGCTCCCACACCCTCAGGCCAGCTCACCTGCACTGCCAATAACAAGGTAAGATCTAATGTTCTTCTCAGTCCAGATGCCAGACCAACTCTCCCAAGTGCTGCAGTTGGGGAAGTACAGGTCCAGTTCTCACCAGTGGTGTAGACTGTGAAGGGTAGGGTTAATTTTGTGTTAACATATCTTGTCTCAGTGGTAACAGGAGCTATGGACATCAATGTAACTGAGGTTTTGGTAGGGCCATAGAACCAGAGATGGCCTTTGATAGTAGCTTAGGCATTCAGGACACCAGGATTCCTGGTGATAGCACTGACCACTCAGATCTGTATGGCCCTAGTAGGAGCACAGTCCTTGGACATGAATATGACCCTAACTGATGGCCCAGACCCATACCTACTTCTGTGTTGCCCTTGGTGGCAACATAGACCCTGGACATGAGTACAGATCCTGGCTGTCTTTGCAATATGGAACAAGGATAAAGCCCAGGCCTGGATGTCACCATGGTCATACTCGCCAGTGCAGGCCACTCAGATAGGTATGGACCCAACAGCAACATTTTCCCAGATTGTCGACAGGATTCCAGGAATCTACAATGTAATTAAGGGCAACAGGATCCTGAGTCAGAAATGCAGTCTCTGACTGTAGCAGGGCCCCGGATCCACACTTAGTCCTCAGCAACAGTCCCTGAGCTGGTCTCATCATGGTCTTAGGTGAAGCACATGCTTCTAAAACACACATGCCCTCTTTGAAGGCATGTCCCTTTGACACAAACATGGTCACAGTTATGACACTGCTGCAGGTTGCTGCAAGGCCCTCACTGGTAAAAGGAGTTAAGTATATCAGCAGAGATACCCACAACTATGTCAGGCCCATGTACAATACAAGGTCCTTGGCAACAGATAAGCCTGGGACATCATCCTGGCCCCAGGTAAAAATAGGACATGGATTTATATCATACTCCCTCAGTAAATGTTCTCATTTCCTAAGAGGCTTTAGAGTCATAATGTTTTCATTCTTGTTAACTTGGTGCACATGATCATTTCATGAAATGTGTATAAAGAATGCTATAGTATAGGGATAGCTAAATAATGACTACAAAGATACAGTAAGCATACTTTTCAATCATGCAATGGATATCCACAGAGTTGGTAACACCATCCACATACAAAGATATGTGCAGCCAGTGGAAATAACTACTTTTCATTTTAAAAACATCTGTATTATTATATATTTGTTATTTATTTTTAAACCCTTTAATCCCAAAACAATAAGTTTAAAATGAAGAGAGAGCTTCTACATACTTCTTCTTTCTGAAATATTGAAACTTGCAACAGTTAGAGGAGACAAAACAAGACAGATGAAACCCGTTGGAGGGCACAGTTGTTCCAAAGTGTGATGGCCAGCCAGATTAAGCAAAACAGAAAATTTCAGGGTCCCTGAGAGACCTGGACTCAGGAGAATAAGGAAAAGACCAACTGAGCACATGTCATTATCTGGTCTGCAGTCACACCCACCAAAGTACATATCTACAAATGCATGCATCACACAAAGACCATTTAAACAATAAATCAGAAGAAAAAATGAAGGGGACAGCAAGCTGAATGAATAGTTGAATTTAGATTATGTACATAAGGTGTTTCAATGAGACCCATAATACTGCTGTTTTCTTGGGGAATGAAATTCCTAGAGCAGCACACAGCTTAGTCAAAATTTGTAGAGGTGGTTGAACAAAATGTTCTCTTGAAGACTCAATTCTGTCACCTCACACACAACCTGTAAAAGTTCTCCCACATCTATGGTCAACCAGTCAGTTCAAGGGTGGGAGAACTATCCAACATGAAACAGGGCTGACAAGATGATACTCAGGTCTGTCAGTTTGAACCAAGAGTTGAGAGAAGGAAAGAGAACACACTAGCGTGCAGGAAGCTTTCAGCATGCAATCACCTGCTCATCCAGTACAAAGAATGAACATAAGCTCTCATTAATAGAGTATCCTTCAAGCCAGCACATGTCAAGGCCTTTTTATATGCATGTTGAGAGCTCACACACTTCTGTCCCATTCCCCAGACAGTGATTCAGGACACAGGCTCTGCTTTTCATTTGGAGGGAGCAGAGCAGCCTGTGCCCACATCTCACTATTAACCTGGTTCAAAGTTCTGCGTCTCTGATGCACTCGGGGAAATTATTTTAGGCACCAGGACCCACTGAAGGGTTAGCCTCATGAACTTGGGAAAGCTTGACTTGACACTGTGGTGTCAAGAATGACAGCAGAGATCTGGCAGTAATGACTACCTGTTGTTCAAATTTTTCTTCGTGTAACTGGCCAGGATGGCACTCAGCTCAATTCACTCATATTGTTTACTCTGTAGCTTAATGGAGAGTCCCTACAATTTTTCCATCTGCTGGTCCTGCTCAGTAAAGGAGGAGTGTTGGGATGGTGTCACCCCAGTAGTCCCTGCAGGTAGATAAAGACAAGTGAGCTGGAATCCTTGTATGGCATAGGGCCAGGGGAATCTATGCTGAGTTCCAAGAAGCCCATGGAAGAGGTAATGCTAGGGACCCAGTGAACTCCAAAGAGAACATTGCAGCTATGTTCATACTGGTGTCCCTGAGCTATGACTCTGATGGGAAAAACCATGGCTAGTCATGTGCTTCATTCC